CAATTTTGGGTATTCTGAGGAGGCTAGGAACAGTGTGTGGTATGTGTTCCTTGTTATCAGCTAACAAAGTTTGGCATTACTACAAGACTACTTTCGAAATAGTTAAATGATAGTCATAGTGAAAAATTGGAATATGACATATTTATATATTAATATATTTATATGTGTATATTTTTCTTTTTGGTATTTCTTGTATCTGTGTGAATGTGTATCTAATGACGGAAATATTGATTCAGAAGAAGAGAAGATTCATGCATTGTTATCGGACATTATTTTTTATGTCGCTCAGAAATGTTCGATGATATACAACTATCAGCTTGGTCAAGTGATTATCAAACTTCTCTTGTTTAATTTTTGATTCATCATTTTATCATGCCAAGATTATGGACTGAATACCATATATATTTATTAAAAAGTCTGTCCCGTTTTTCTCTAACAGATTACTACAGGGACTATCCATATGGTTATTCGTCATTCAGCTGTAAGTTAATCATGGCATGATATTGTACTCGTTATATAATCCACAAAGAAGACATTTGCACGAGATTGTCACTGAAATTTGGAAAGAAAAGCATTTAATATTGAAATGAACCACCTTCCCTGAAAACACACACACACATATACAGGGGCGTACGCAGGGGGGGGGGGGGGGTTGGGAGTTCAAACCCCCCCTTTGGTATTTTTATGTGTGTAAACCCCCCTAAAAAAACTAAACCCCCCGTAAAGTGCCCTTACCCCCCCCCCAACGAAAAAAATGTCAAATTTTCAAATTTTCGAGACCAAAAAAAAAAAAGTGTCGCTTACCCCCCCCCCCCCCCCCCCCCCCCCCCCCCCACTGAGCGACTTTTCGGTTGGCTGAGTCGTTGCGATTTTTTTTTTGGACTACCAAAAAAAAAAAAAAAGTGTCCGCTTACCCCCCTTTTATTTCTTTTAAATGTTATCATCAGAGCCCTTAAATAATGGCTCTAAATAGAGCGATCCATCCGTATTAGTTTTAAGTAATTATCATAAGTAATTATTATTAGTATATTCGGGCACTTTGCTGCGCGAATTTAATAATATACAGGCACCAAAATATCGGAATATTTGGGCAAGTCACTGCCCGAATATAAGGTGATGGTTGCTCGCATAAATTATTGGAACTAACATTCCGTGTGGGAATCGGGGAGCCCGTATGCAGAAAGGGCAGTAGATTTGCTAATTTCTTAAATAAGCGACTTTCTATTCAATTGTCCTTCGACTGGGGCGAACAATTAAGGAACTCTCTAGATCAATGTAGTCAAAGACGTTGGCATGGTTATAGAAACCTAAGATTTCTTTGAAATGCTGACCCTTCCCAAATATTATTTTCAACACTGTAGAAAAGGAAGGCGTAATAAGAAGCAAAGCAACTAGATTTACATCTTTTCTAACCTTTTTTCTTTTAAAAACGGTATTTATTCATTTTTGACATGAAATTGCAAGATCTTGATGCGAGGGAGCAAAGCGATCGAGCTTTAGACAATTTTCGTTTCTTAAACCTCCAACCTCTCTATATATAGTACATGCAATTAACCCTTCAAACTGGGGGTGCATAATCTGTTCGTGTATCCAAAATGTGAGAGGTAAAAAATTACATTTCGCGATAGAAACATAACATATAAAGGCTTAAAGTCTAATACATCATAAAAGGATTGTAGCCTGTGTAAGCATTCTCCTTATAATCAAGCCTGCTTCATACCTAAACAAAAAATAAACATTATAACCTTTACAAAAAACACTGCACTTACATTTTAATACCCCCCCCCCCCATCCTGAAGCCTTTGCAATCTTTTCGACCCGACTACGTTACTGGCTGTTGTGTGGAAGAGACATACCGATACGCGTGTGCATGTTGCTTTATATCAAAGAATGATCATCACCATGTGTATACCTGGTATTCAATTTTTTATTTCAATGAGATTTTTGTTGTTGTCCATACACATAAAAAGTCATCAAAAGACAAGGAGAGCTACTGACTCAACACTGAGGTTTACAAAATTAGATTCCTTGATACCATCAACATCGGATTCTAATTAGGAGTCCTTTTTGTAGCTCTGACGTATTTACGTGTGACATTTTTACCTCTTGCATTTTTTTTTACCTCTTACATCTTTACCTGCCTTATCATAATACTTAACCCTATTTTGACTTGGCTTTTTGAGGGCAGGTTGTGCCATTTTTATTTTATTTTTTTATTTTTTATTTTTTTTTTTTTTTTTTTTTTTTGGGGGGGGGGGTAAATTTTATCGATTTTTGCGAATTGTCTCAAAAGTTGCGAGACAATAACTTGAAAAGAAAAATTCACGAAAAGGCAAGTCGCCATCTGCAGCGGTTGTGCGGTAGTCGTATATTTTGAACAGTGGGAGGGGGGCACATTCGGGGGTTAAGTTCCTAAAAGATGCAGTGACCCCTTAATCCGCCAATGTGTAAAGGGCTTTAGGGGTCAATGTTCAACAAGGCTAAATGCTTTTTGTTGACCCCTCATTCGACATAAATTTGCTTTCTGAACTTATTTCCTGTTAATTTTATTGTATTCTCATTATCTGTAATGTTACCTTTCTACATGTATTTATGTATTTCAAATTTCAATTTGTTCATACTTTGTATGCATTGTATATATGATTTTTATGATGAATGGAATAAATACCCCCCCCCCCCAAACAAACAAAAACTAAAAAATACTAATGAAAATAATACGAATTAGAAATATATGTGTTTTTTAGCAGCATCGATGGATCACGACTACCACATTCTTCAGAACTTGTCCGGGAGCCTGGCGCATCGCTTTGCAGCAAGCACGTGGAAGACCTACGCTGGGGTCTCCCTAGACCGGGTACTCTACGATCACGACGGTCGTTCGTCCCCATCCCCACATGGACAACGACTTCCCAACATGCGCGTCGACGGCAAGTTCATGGCTACATGCCCCAAATCAGAAGGTAGTACTAACGTGCACGCCGAACTGTTGATACTGGACTGGTTACATAATCTGGTTGACAATTCAAAATGGCCGCCAGCGGACGGACAACTACACACATTACATCTGTTCACATTCTTATCTCCTTGTAGTGGATGCATCTGGTGGTTGGGGAGTTTTCTACATTTCCTCCGACAGAATGGACTGATGGGGAGAATCCGAATTGTCCTAGGATATTCCAAATGGTACACGCCGCCAGGAGGTCTAAATATTCCTGGTCCTTTTCTTACCATTCCGTGGCTTTATGAACTCCAACATTATTTTCCTAACTTCAAAGTGATGAAGATTTCTTAAAATATAATGAGAATAAAAGAGTAGACATTTATTATGTTTATAATAATATGTTGTGTCAAAAGGGGTAGGATTTGCTTTAGGAAATGGAGATTTCAAATTCGTATTAAAATAAAACCTTTGTTGCTTTTCGGATGGCCAGCGAGATTGAGCAGCGAGATGGACCTGAATTACCGGTCTCGATGGCCTTCTGAAAAATTATCTGAAATTTTCCGAGACCAATATAATTTTCTTGTGGGCAAAATAAATTACCACCTGACCTGCAAAAACGCAATGAAATTGTAAAAAGTACTGCTTATCTCTTTTGTGATTACCATTGTGTTCAATCTACATGTATTTGTACAGTGACATATTTAAGTGATGCCTACAGTATGTATTATGTTGGGATTGGCGGAGTGAGGGAATGAATTGAATGTATCAAATGAAATGCATTGCATAATGCTTTTTGCAGAAGCAAAGTCACACACACACACGCGCACACATGTTTGTTGGTATTTGATATTCGATATTTGATATGTGTGGCATTATTAATTTTGTTAGGAATGTTATTTGGATCTGTAAAGACCGAATTAAAACCCAAATCCCAATTGTTTTATTCAAACATCACATAAACAACTTTGGCGCAAGTCGATTTTTGCACTCTCGCAAACAATGCCTACTGTTTATCCAACCGTGAACACACACCGCACAAAAATGATACCACATTATTGAGGATAAAACACTCTTTTATAAGATGTATAATAATTTACTGTTCATAGAAGATTTTTAATTAGCAATTTTCTAGGTGTAAACTTTTTTTTGACTCACACTATATAGGCTATTGGTAACACCATGTGTTGGGCCCTTTCTTTGTCTGTTTTTCATTTTGTCAACACCATAGCCAAATACATGTATCCTAAATTGATTGAGAAATTAGGAGAAAATTACACGTTTTGTATGCATTAACAGAATATAATATGTATCTTACTTGCATTTACTTTGTAAATAAAATGAAAGTGAAAATATATCAAAATTATGATGTTTGAATACCGATATTTTTGTTTTTCTTTTATTCATTTTTTTCTTATTTTCTAAAATTTTAGATGAAATCTCTGAATGAAACATAATTTTTCTTACTTTATACATACTGTATTATCTGTTGATGAGAATGTATGACGATAGTTACATTTGATCCTTGCCGAACGAAGTTTGCCATGGCACTCTGAAAGGGGATCCGTTTGTGCAGAATATTTTTCTGTAGTTATGTGTGTGTATGTGGGTGTGAGGTATGCATGCGGTTTGGTGTGTTTTTATAATGGTTTATATTAGTTATACACTGTGCTCCGCTATGTTGTTTGGGGAGTCCCCACACCCACAATATTATCCAAAATAACCAACGAAATCCAACAGGAACCACATATTGGTGACACAATGTTAGTACTTCGTATGCATAATTGAAGGTTATTGGTAATACCATGTATTGGGCCCTTTCACCTACTGTCTGTATTTCACAATAGGATATGACTCATGCCTTACAGCACAATTAATAGTATAAATACTAATCGTGTTAATAGACTTTATTCACTGCACTGGAGAAACGGCAGTGCATGATACGTCACCTTTATCATACATCATTATAAATTAAACTAATTTGACTATTATATAGGCCTTATACTTTATAGATCCACAACATTCTATCTGGATGATTCAAAAGCAACACATTTTTATCAATATGGGTAAGTCTAACGAATATTCTATCAAAATATCATTGAGATGTAGATCATTCTATAATTTACAATGTATTTATGATACATGTATATATTGTTATTTGTGCCAAATCCAGACTAAGTAGGCCTACAATACCAGTTTTTAATTCAATTCTTTTTAAATATTACCACTTTTTCATTTGTGTCCTCCAGGAATTCTCCACTATTTTTGTATTTACTTCTTCGTCTGATTTTTTAATTTTATATTTCATATAATTGTATAATTTCAACCACTGAACTATATTAAAAGTAGTGTATCCCTTTTGCAGCCAACATCAAATTCTGGAGAACTTTGCACGAATTATAAATATGTAACGTATTTTTCTTATCTGTGAAATTTAAACGTGAGTAGTGTCCTAGTATTCGAATTATATATATCTATATATATATATGTATATACGTTAGAAAATTGTGTTTGAAAGTTGTAATGAACCGGTTCATTCAGGTAAATACCGGGAATTGCTTTTAAAGATTCTCGGAAGCCTGAGCAAGCCAGTGACATTTTATTTCCCCCTTTTTCTACTGACGCGTGATGTCCTGTAACACAAACACTGGTAGTATTATTCATGATATAACTTGACGGCATTTTTAATACAAACTCACACACACACACGTACGTAAACACACACACGCACACGCAAACACACACATGTATATACACATAAATTTCTTGTTAACTAATACACAAATTGATTCTTACTTTTTTCAAAATTGTTAATATAAGGTACACATAACTTTTCAAAATGAACGAAGTGCCATTACCATTTATTACGTAAACACTGGGGATATTAAGCCCACTTACTTTATCTCGCGAGAAAAAACACCTTCTAAATGTCAAGACCTATACAATGCCCTAGCTATAGCGCTGTAGAAGTTTACTTGTCGACAGCCTACATCTCGTCCAACAAAAGCCGACTTTACGAGAGTCGCAAGATATCCTCAAAAGAAATTTAAAAGCTCATCTTGTAGCATTGATTGCTTAGACAAAAATAATGTATAGAAGGGCTAGATGTCCAGGAGGAGGACGAAAACCGTGGGACACCTCTAAAAAACAAGCAATTAAGAGAGAAGAAAATATTTTGCCCCCGCTCATAATTATGTACATACGAGCGGAGTGAAGCGAGCGAGAAAAAAAAAGACACAGTCTTTTTAATAAAGATATTACTTTATTACTTCGTCATCAAAATACATGCTGCCAGAACATGTGGATTTCCGGCATCCCGTTGTCAAGACCAAGGCATCCTGTTTTTAATTCCGCGGGAGGTCGTAGCGATGGAACAAAAATGAAAAACTTGACTTCTTTTATCAGAGCCATTTAATGAATGGCTCTGAATAGAGTGATCCATCCGGATTTGTTTTCAGTGAATTATTATTAGTTTATCCGGGCACTTTATTGATATACAGGCACCCAAATATGAAAATATTCGGGCAAGTCGTTTCCAGAATATGAGGTGATGGTTGCTCGCATAAATTATTGGAACGAAACAAAATACGAGCACATTTTTTTTTTGGTCCCGAAAATTTGAAAATTAGGCCGATCGATATTTCGTTCAGTTGGGGGAGGGGGGAGGGGGTGGGGGAGGGTAAGGTCACCTTTTGGGGGTCACCCTTTAGCACAATTTATTTTTAAATTATTATTATTATTTTTTTTAATTCGAGGGGGGGGGGGGGGGTTTCCCTCCAAAATATACACTAAAAAAAAAAGTGAGAGGAGGGGGGGGGGGGGGGGGGTTCGACCCCAACCACCCTGCATACGCGCCTGAGATTTTGACTAAACACTGAGGTTAACAAAATCATATTCCTTAATACCATCAATTTTGAATTTTACCTACGAGTCCATTTTCTTTTTCTCTCTTTTGCTTTTTAAAATTTTTTTTCGCTCATCTTCTCAATCTTTCGTGCTTTTTGCTCTACTTCAAGTGCTGCCTGGGATACGTAAGCCTACGTAGCACCTTTGCACCCCCTTATAGATACGCCACTGATGTTGATTAAGCATGTTGAAAGGGGCACATTTCGGGGGTTAATTTTCCAATGACTCCTTTAATCCACCAGTGTGTATAGGGCTTATGAAAATATTACGAATAAGAAATATCTGGGTTTTTTTCTTTAGCAGCATCGATGCATCACGACGACCTCATTCTTAGGGTTTTGTCCAGGAGCCTGGCGAATCGCTTTTCAGCAAGCTCCTGGAAGACCTACGCAGGGGTCTCCCTCGACCGGGTGCGCTACGATCATGACAGTCGTTCGCCCCTTCCCCCACATGGACGCCAACTAGCCGACAACATGGGGCTGTGCGTCGACGACGAATTCATGGCTACATGCCCGAGAGAAGCCAGTACCTCAGGTAGCCGGAACGCGCACGCCGAAATGCTGATACTGAACTGGCTAAGCAGTCGGGTTAACACTTCAAAATGGCCGCCAGCGGACGGACAAATGCACACATTACATCTGTTCACATTCTTATCTCCTTGTAGTGGATGCATCCATTTTTTGGAGAGTTTTCTACGTCTCCTCCGGGAGAAGGGACTGATGGGGAGAATCCGGTTTGTCCTAGGATATTCCAAAGAGTACACGCCGTGGAAACCCGGTACGCCGCTAGCACAACGATTTTATTCTGGTCCAGATGTAACCATTCCTTGGCTTACTAAACTTCAAACTTATTATCCTAACTTCAGAGTGATAGACATTTCTTAAGATTCAATCGGAATAAAAGAGTAGACATTTATTTAAATTGTAATACTAGTTTGTATGAAAACAGGTAGGATTCGCGTAAGAAAATGGATTTTAAATTCGTATTGAAATAAGAACCTTCTTTGTCTTTCATTGTAGTAAATATATTATTCCGCAATCAAAATACACGCGAAAATGAGGAGTTTCGGGCATTACGTTGCCAATAATCATCCTGGTTTTTCGTTTAGGTTTAAGTTTTCATCGAAATTCACTTTTAGCCAAGAAACAAATATAGCACTTTATGTTCCGGCACCTGGCCTTCCCACTTATTTTATGGAGACATTTACTTTGAAAAAACTCGAAACTCGTTCTCGAAAAAAAAAAAAATTCTCAATTTTTTCTTTATTTTCAATTTCTTCATTCATATAAACAACAGAAAACTTGAATTTGTAAGTGCAACTTTTATGGAGAAATAGATCTAGTTAATGACACATCGTTGGAAAACCTTTTTTTTCTTCTTCAAATCATTGGCAATGGCATTATGTTTATTAATGATTTAATAAGTAAAGAAGGAATCTATTTTGTCGCTAAATTCCTCAATGTAAATCAAAGTTTAATATAAGCCTTGATTTCTACAGTGTATTTTCACTACGACAAGCTGTCCGATGCTCATTCACTTCAAACCTGGACAAATTCAACATAGAATGTGCGAACCACTTTTTTTACCATGTATTTCAGTATTAAAGGGATAGTTGAGTAGTGTTGCAGAGGGCGCTACACAAAATATTTTTTGTGAGATAATACAAAGCTGAGTGTCAAATTTGAAAGAACATACAATTTAAATGACAAAATCATCTTTGTTTGATCAAAATCGGTTCAGAGACGGCTGAAATATCCATAAATATAACGATTTCTAATATTTGTGTACCACCACAAATATTAGATAATTTGAAAAAGCCGTTGAACAAACGAAATAGCGTCTTTTACGACATATTTCAGCCAATGCCGATGTTGGCTTTTTTGCTGGCATTTTCGTGTTGGTTGTATTACGCACAACCACCTGGCCCGTGTATTGTTATTTGTAATTAAATAATTAATTAAAGGTCGCCGTATTTCTTTGAAAGGGAGCTGCATTGGTATGATCGTATTGGCTAAATTTCACACATTTTTGGGGTCTATACCTTCATAGCAATTTTAGGTTCTAAAATGGCACTAGAAATGTCATAGATAAGAATAAGAGCAATAATCATGCACTTTGAAGGCATTTGCGATCTGAAAACAGAACTCAACTATTCCTTTAATGCCAGACGAAAAAAAACTGTAGAAGTATTTATAAAACATTAGAAAAAATAAAAATATAGCGTTAAAATGGAAAAAGAATTCAGATTTTCGTTCAGAAAATGCAATAAGGTATTTTAACGACATGAGTTTCAGATTTACAATGGATAATAAACTTAGGTATTTCCCGTTCACAGTTTTAAATCGAAATCTGTTTTTAAATGATACTTTATTCAAATTAAGCTTTGTCAATAAAGATCTCTGTTTGTTTTGCGATACCGAAAAAAGGAAGCTAATTAACATTTCTTTTGTATGAGTATTCAGGTTAATGCAGTCAATGTAGGAGTGTACTTCACGTACTTTCTGCCTCAAATTTCACCCCTCAAAAATATGTTTTGTTTAAAAAGAGGAGCGACATAATGCACTTATCTGTATTATGATACAGCAACAAATTTTTATTTCCAGATTTAAAGGTACTATGTCCCTTTTGCAGCCAACCTCATATTCTGTAGAACTTTGCAGGAATTATGAATATGTCATGTATGTCCTATCTGTGAAATTTAAACGTTAGCAGTCTCCTCATATTCAAATCATGCAAGGAAACCCATTTACTTGCTAGACTTCACTGTCAGACACTATTGAGTGACTGACTGGCTTTTTTCTTCTTTGGTAATAACATACATGAAAAGAGTTGTAAAGGGTATACATGAGCATTTGTCTACGTCAATAACCCACTTCTTCTGATGGCCAAGATTAAACTGATTGAATCTTTGCGCAGCATAAAACGTATGACCGTTCGGTACAATTGTCTGAAAATCAAGACTATTACTTTTGGGCTCTATAGCCCTAAAGTCGATTTGACAACTAATAGTCGTTATTTTCCCACTTGAAGACATTTTCAAGCCCCACCTTTTTTAGGGAAGTTCTAAATTAGTATTATCTTTCAAATGCAGTTGGAATTTAACTTTTTCATTTTTTTAGCCTGCAAATGGGACATAGTACCTTTAATAAGACATTTTCTTTTTTTTCATTAAAAAAATATAATAAAGACATATTATGAGGATGAGCAGTACATTTATGTTATAAATGAGATAAGAAATCAGTTCACTTTATTAAAGATGGCTTTATTGAAGCAAGTATTTTTTCTCTCTCTTCCATTTAATTTTTTTCTTTCTTTCCTATCAACATTCTGTTATATAACATGTAATTTTCAAAATAATATCTATAATGTTCTCTCGGTAACTGTGTTAATTTATTATGGGCGTTCCAAACTCAAGCTTTGCTTTCCGGGTTTTCGCCTCCTTCCGTATCTGAATTATTTACTCTATACTCTATGTTGTTACATATATCATGTATATATACATTGTGTTTCATATTGTACTGTTGAGAAGGAAATAAATGTTAATAAATAATAATAATAATAATAATAATAATAACAATAATAATGCATACAAATATTGTTGTGATATTGGTTGTATGAAATGTAAATTTGATCTTGTGGGGGTCTCAGTCATGTAGAAATACTGTAAGCAAGCGTGACCACAGGTTTTCCAGACACCCCCTAAACAAGGATTTCTTCTGAAAGCAAAATACACCCTAAATGAGGGTTTTGTTTTTGTTTTTCTCCCGAATTCACACCCTAAACGGGTATTTCACCAAAAAAGTGTTTTCCAGACACCCCCTAAACGAGGATTTCTTCTGAAAGCAAAATACACCCTAAATGAGGGTTTTGCGTGGTTTTTTCCCGAATTCACACCCTAAACGGGTAGTTAAAAAAGAAGGGTGTACACCTAAACAGGTATTGTAGATTGTATTTTGCGAAACAAAATATAAGGGACCAGCTATAGGCGTGAGACTTGGTAGGTCTAGGTCGGTATCGTGGGTATCCACCTTGATCCACCGACGATCTTAAGATCGTTTCAAACCGACTCGCGCTTGATAAGCTACCTCTCGCGGCCGTCGTATGAGCAAACACGACGAATTATTACCCTCCCCCTAAACCCTATTACCCCTAAACGCGTATACCGGCGCGTACAGCCGGATTTTTAATCATTTTGAAAATATACCCTTTTTTTAAAAAATTGCCCAAAGTGGACGTTTTTGAGCCCCTTAATGCGGCACCGCGTGAACGGGGGGGGGGGGGGGTGAACACTCCTTTTTTTCTCAACATCCACCCCCTTCCGCTCACCCCACTCCTTTGAAGAAAAAAAAACACAACACTAAACTTTTGTTACTTTTTGGGGACCAGCGGGGAAGAGGGGCCCGTTTTCATTTTTTGTTGAAAGAAAGTAAAATTAACGTTACCATCTTTTTTAAAAGTTGTTTTGGCCGGGCCCCCTCCCCGCCCCGTGGATCCGCGCCTGGCTATACCACGCACACGTTATACACTACCTGATTGTCAATATTTATAGTACGGATCCTGTTGTGTACAACGCTTATGAATATAATGTACTGTGGTTATTGAGTAAGATATACATAATGTAACATTCAATATACTGGTAAAACATCACGATGTGATTAAAATATCAATACTTCCGTAGTGGTTCCATGCACAGATGGGAATATGTGTCTATCATAATAAAGATTGCGGCTCACTTAACCCTTGTTCAGATGTGCCGCGGTAAAACGCGGCGATTCGTTTTTTTTTTTTTATATATAGTTTTTATAATGACTTAAAGGTAATACAAAGTTTTGGGAAATTTTGAAAATTGGGTGGATAGTGATTCTTCAACATTTTGATATATTTGGATGCCCCTGTGGATGTATTATAAGCACTAGAAAATTTAGCCCCTAAACTACTTTAGTTTAGGGAAAAATTGAATATAAAAATTTACCGGTGCTCCCGGTGAATTTTGATAAATTTCAAGTAGCGCCTACGGTCGTACAATGGTAGCTGCGACCATGACAATCTCAGAGTATGTAGTTGTGATATATAATTTCCGAACGGGAACAACTAATCGGTAGATTTTAGTCAAGAAACATTGTTTTATAGCTTAATTTATATCTTAACCTTTAGAGGGAGCTATACAACATAAAGAGTTTATTATTTACAATTTCATAACTTTAGACTCGATTTCAACCGCAACAACGATCACTGAATATTGTAGGACCGCATATGCGTCCAATATGTTCATTTGAACCAAATTCATGACCCCATACCAAAACTTTGTATTACCCTTAAAGAGAAGGTTGAGTTCTGGGAAGAGGTGAAAAAAAATTTGTGAGCATTACTCATTCTTATTATGCAAGTGTGGAAGAACATCAGTTAAGACATGTTCCCTGAAAAGCATGGCTCTTCAAATGCCTTCATATTCTAAATATGCATGTAACATCGTAAAAATCGGGGGGCCGGCTTTTTACGCCACGTGTTCGTGTAGTCCCATATACATCTTTCTGTGCAAGTGCTTGTAACTTTACCAAGACTTGGCCAAATTTCTTATCATTTTGATGATTCCAGAACCTTGCAATACACACAAATTCTTATATGCTAGATGATCAACCTTTTCTGGTCGGTTCCACACCGTTTCTTTCACAATGCAATCGCATGACCAGAACTCAACTTTATCTTTAAGTGCATTTAAGTGAATACGCCTAAAACCTTTGTTGCGCGCATAATTTGCCATTCGTTCACACATAATGAAAATAATAAAAACGCCGTGGTTGACCGCATCATATCCGTACGACCACGCGTAACGCATTGAATAAACCAGTGAGATCACATCTCGACAACATTATTACTCCACAAG